CGGGCGCAAGCACCAAGCTGACAGGCGGCGGCGGTGGCTCGCAAGGAGCCAGCCGCGGCGGCTACGGCGGGTACAGCGGAGGAAGCTCCGGCATGGGTGGCATGTCGAGCAACCCGTACTCGTCGAGCGCGGGCTCGATGGGTGCACCGGGTGGTGGGTCTAGCTACAACCCGTACAGCGCGCCGCCTCCTGTGTCGGCCGGTGGCGGCTACGGAGCGTCATCGGGCGGCGCGGGTGGTTGGGACAGCTATTCGCAGCCCGCTGCAGCGACAGCCGGTGGTGGATACGGTGGCGCTGCTTCGGCCAAGACACCGGCATACAACCCATACGCGGCCGATGGTGGCAAGACGCCTGCCTATAACCCGTACGCTGCGGATGGCGGCAAGACGCCGGCGTACAACCCGATGGGCGACGGCGGTAAGACACCAGCCTACAACCCTCTCGGTGATGGTGGCCGTACGCCTGCGTACAACCCGTACGGCGACGGCGGCCGCACACCTGCTTACTATCCGTGATTCGTTGGCAATAGCTCAGTTGTACGCAAAATCTTCACATCAAAAAAGGTCATGTTCAGGGCTCCAATTTCCCATGCAGAATCGCGCTTGGAAAGCCAATCTCTCCTTGGCAAAAGCTAAAAGCGACGGTAAAGACGAAGTGTTGAGACATGCCGATGGTAGCGGTACAAATACAGGTGGATGATGGTGACGGCTATGCAGGGGCGCGGACGGTAAGGTGGGTGTTGTAGAAGGCGGTAAGAGCTGGTTCGGACTGGATCAACTTGAGTGTATGCGAGATGTGCGCTGCTTTTCGATGCAGGTGGGTGGTGGTATCGGGGTGTGGATTCGGGGTGTATGGAATCGAGCAGAGGATTGAATGCAGGTGTTGCTTTGCGACCTTGAGTGGAGCCTCGAACTCGCTGTACTCTGCACGCAGATTCATATATTCTCCAGCCATCTCGGCTGCTGATGGATATGCATCGAGATCACCAAGCGATGGCCTGAAGAGTGTAGGGTTCTCGAGCAGGGTTTCGCCGACCATCACGCCGCTTGCACCCGTGAGAGCGAGGTTCGTCGCGATGTCCGACCAGCAGCGCACATTGCCGTTGCTGACCACTGCCGTCTGTCCGTCTGGCTGATGTGTACATCTCAAAAGACCTTCATTTTGAAGGGCTTGACGCACTTGTATGACCTGGTCGAGGTCTGCAAGGCCCTTGCGACGACGGACGGAGGAGGCGAAACGAGGGTGTAGCGTGACCAAGCTGCTGCCTGCGCGGGCGAGAGTGACAGCCAGCTCAGGAGTCTGCTCCTTTGGTACCGTCAGCCTGATCTTGGTAGTGATGGGTACATCGACCGCCTGTACAAGCGCGGAAACGATCTGGCTGAGCAGCGGCCAGTTCTGCTTGGGCAGCAGATAGGCGCCGTATTTGCCCTGCTCGGCGTGCCGCTGGGGGCAGCCGAGGTTGAGGTCGATTGCATCCGCAAATGGCGCCACTTTACGGGCGGCATCTACCAGCTCGTCCACATCATTGCCAGCCAGCTGCACGATCTGGAGCGCTAAGCTTCCGTGCAAAGAGCTCTTTCGATCCTGAATGAGGTTGTCGGTGCTAGCGCGGCCGAGCTCCAGAGCCTTGACGAGCGATTCAAGCGTGTCCTGATGCTCGATGATCTCCGCGGCCATGTACATCTGTGTCCAGGTCGAGGTGGCTCCGTTGCGGACCGTCTGTAGGCGAAAGGGGAGATCCGACTGACCGACCATGGGAGCAGAGCAGTAGAGCAGGCTCTCGAGCGGCAGTCCGCTCCGCACCACCATCGTCAATGTACCTAACGTCGCGTCACAGGCGTGACTCTATTGGGGCGTGCTATGCATGACGTGCTCTCTTTCGCCTTCCAGAGTAAGCTCACAGCGCACCGCGGGAGTGAAGGATCGGACGTGAAGGAGAAGGAGAAGGAGAAGGAGAAGGA